ACTTACTTTACTTTACATCACCTTCAAAGGTTAAGAATAGGCTCCCAAACTAAATTCTCTTCCAACTGGGTATAAATCTAATCATAATTATTACATCCAAATACTATTCAATCTTTATTCTAAGTTGTTTAGACAAGTTCACAATTTAGTGCTACTTTAGCATTCCCAGTTTCTTATAGAATTCAATGCGTGTAATGAATTCAAATCAACTAATTAGCTAATTCACTGAAAGGAGTGGATATTGGAGGTGATGTCATAGATGATTTGCCGGTAATTACATCTGAATACCCAGGGTAGTAGGCAGAAAGAAGTATCATTCACAATCTAGGGAGGAGACTTGATGCAAACTACAATGGACAATGTACTGTTTTAAACATTTCTTGATTCTAGCTTACTTTCCCAGATCACTTAATTATACCACTTAATTAAATGCATGGGTAGTCAAATCCCCCCTGCTCTTTAATATTACCTGGTCTCCATCTCATGATGACACGAATTGCTCTGTTTTTTTGCAGAATAAATTAGACCTTATTTTGTTTCTGCTTACAATCTTCAAATGGATCTAAACCTACCCACAGTCACAAAATAATACAAGTAAATGTTTTTCTAGTCAATGTTGCTTTTTCCCAATGTTGATTTTTGTTTTTGTGTGTGTTTTTTTTGTAGTAAGTTTCTATTAGTTTATTTGAGCCAAACTGAGGACATATATTGGGGAGCAAGATCTCAAATACTACTTGTTGTGTGTGTGTGTGTGTGTGTGTGTGTGTGTGTGTGTGTGTATGCACGCGCGCGCATTCGCATACATACACCTTCTATATAAATCCTTCATTGTTACAATACTTTGACCAGCCAGCCTGGCCATATTTTACAACTACGTTGGCTAAAACTGCTTAGCAGTAACTTGCAAAAGAAGTGCTCTAATAAAGGAAATTAACTTCTTTTAATATGATGACTGACTTACCAAGTTATTAGTGCTATTAATTTATCGTCTCTAAAATGTGCTTGTAATTTTACACAGGAAGACTGGGAGAGGAATAAAAGCTAATGATGCAATTCTAACAATGAAAACAGTGTCAGAGCCATTTTGGGGAAAGAGATTGTCCTCAAATAATAACTCTAAGAAATTATAGTTCTCTATAGGTAAGTGTCTACTTCCAAATTTTAATGTGCAAGTTCGAGCTTTTCATTTTACCTGTAGATTATGGATAATTTTCTGCTGGATACCTCATTATGCTATCAGGTTACAGAAGCTTTTCTATTTCTTTCACACTGACTGAAAAATTTTTTCTCCTTTCTCTTCTCAATTTAGGCCCCCTATACCCCCCCCCCTTTTTTTTTAAATAAGGCAAACACATTACATTAAAAAAAATGAACAGGAACCTATTATTTACTGAGAAATTTGATGATTTGGTCAAATAGCAACAGGGCTAACAGGTAGCAAACCCTTCAGGTGAGTCAGGTAAATACAGTTTTTTAGGGAGGATCTTTTTGGGAGATTGGCTACCAAAGGGCAGGGTTAGCTGGAGATGAAAACTAGTAGCCCCATTTCCCTAAAATATTTGGATATTTCTAAGACACCTTAGAAATATGTCCGGGAAGTTCAATTCTCTAGGTAGTTCCATTTCATCTTAACTCAATTAGATTTTATTTCAGTAGCAGTGTTTTTGTGGAGGACTTTGGACTTTGTCTTGTCATTTTTGTCACTCAAAGGATCCCTGTATTTAACAACATAATGGAATTCTTTTAATTATTAGAGCTTAGTTTTTATTTTATATTTACTTTCATTTTTCACTAATGCTTTCTTCCCTTCTATTTGCTACTTCTCCGGAGTTGTCTGACTTCCTTTTTGTGTTTTGCCAAGCTTCCTCTTTTCTCTTCTGCTTCCCCAGAATTTGCCAGTAAAAACTAGTAAGGACTGTGTACTTTCAGATTAGTCTTTATACGTTTATCTGGTATTTACCAAAGTATTACAAAAGTGGCAATACTAAGAATCGATTATTTTTCCTCGGAGACTTCTAAGCTGGAGTCATATTACTTTCTGTCCTCTGAATAAAGCAACCTAAAAGGAAGAGACTATTTTATGTATTTCTCTTACATTACCTACAGTATCAATCAGTGTTTCTCCAAGGGTTAGTCACCTGCATCAGATTCACCTGGGTGCTGGTAAGAATGCATATTCATAGGCCTGACACCAGACCTGTAGAGTCAGAATTTGGAGGCAGAGCTCAGGAATCTGCAGTTTTATTTCTCTCGTGTGCTGAACTTTTCCTGTGCCTTGGCCTGAATTTTCAATCATTGCCTGGATATGCTCACTTGAATGTATTTTCATCCCACACTTTACACAACACATCCAAAACTAAACCACCCTTGGCTGTTTCCAATTCTGTCCTCATGCTAGTATCCCTGAAGTCATTTTTGGAATCACTCCTCTTTGCATTCCATCATTTTTACTTAATCAGTTTGTTGGCCTTCGTGCCAAGCACTGGAAAAGACAGTAATGAACACAGACATGGGTCATGTCCTCAAAGACGGTAAAGATTCTTTCAGAGAGTAACGTATTCCTACAGATTCTTTTGTTTTTCTTAGGCTATTCCCTTACTTTCCTTGTCAACACCCTAATCTAAAATCTTACCACTTATGCTTGGACTGCTATTTTTTCCTAATTAGTCTCTTTGCCCCTAATCTTCCATCTCTTCTGAAAGATTAATCTGCTGAAAACTTAATCTTCAAAACAACTCTTTGAATATAGCTTACCCCCACTTAAGGCCTTCATTGTTCCCAATTGCTTACAGGCTATTTTCCAAAGTGATTTCAAGGCTGTTTACAATCTGCCCCACAAATGAATTTTTCCTGAACAAATTCTATCCCTATCAATTAGACAGCTGAACTTGATGTAGGTTACTTTTACTTATTTATTTTCTGAACTCATGACTTTAATTACATTTTCTGATCGACCTGACCATAACTTTTGCCTCTTAAGGCCAAACTTTTCCCCCCACCAGCATGGCTGACCCTCAGCACTTGTTCTTGCTTCAGCCCCTATGGTAATTCTCTACTTTCTTCATTAAACACTTTGCATATGCTCCTTGGTACTATTACTTAACTTTTTTATATATTTTTCTAATGCTTCAATTATTTCATAAACTTCCTGAATGTAGGAGCAATGTTTTATATACTTCATTTATTTATGCACTCCATCAAAAAATTGGTTGGCCAATGTGAACCAATATGGTCCTGTTTTTCAAAGAGTTGATAATTCAGTTGTAAAGGCACACCTTCAGCAAATAATTAAGAGATCAACTGCTTTATTCATTTGTTAGCCAAGAAATATTTGATAAGCAACCAATCATAGGCCAGGTATTGTGTTACATGTTGAGAATACAAAGTTAAAGCTGATAGGCTGGTGGTGGTAGAGAATCATATATAAATCACGAAAATGCAATGTTTTAAGTGCAAACAAAAAATCCTAGGAGCACATATGAAGGTGAAACTCTCTCTGCCAGAGTCAGTGAGGCTCACATTTCAGGTGCGTCTGTGTTTTTTGCTGTTCTTTCATTTATTTATTTTTTTGTTTGGTTTCTGGTGTGGGTTTTTTTGGTGTTTTGTTTTATATTTTCAGGTGGGTCTTGAAAGTGATTATAAACATGCATTGGATAATGCAGTGTTCATACACGGAGAGTGGTTCTTGGAAATCTGATAAGGCCATGCCTATATTATTTTGCCGAGTAGGAACCTGAGCTGGGCATAGAGGGTGAGCAGCTAAGGCAGAGTTGAGGAGGATGGCGGCCTTATGATGGCTCACCGCCCAGGAGAATGGCGAGGTCTTGTTGCTGGGCCTTCATCTAGCCCCCTCCCTGGTCCTGCTCCCTCAGCATGGACAGATGTGTCTAGGGAAAGGCCCTTGCTGCCCCTAGTCTTCAAAACTTGTGAAAATTAAGCCAGGGATCTTTCCCTCTAAGAATCATACAATGATAGAGTTAGAAAGAGTACCAAAACCCAACCAGTTCGGTTGTTTCTAATTTATATCCCGGAGAGTCTTAGGGATTTTCAAAAAGGCAAACGAAAATCTGCAATCAATTTTTTTTTTTGGTAATCAATTCTTACTATTCTAAAAAGCCTAGCAGGAAGTGCAAATTTCCTGGTAGGTTAAAATGCCAGATTTACTTGGTTTGTGCTAGGATTATATCAGATCCACATTAAACCGGGGTTCTGACTGAGCTGTGTTCTGATTAGGTCTAATTTGTTTTCCACTGTTGATATGCTTCATTTGGTAAATAACTTTTCAAAATGCAAAAGTGAACTGAAGGTCGAACGCATACAATTGGTAACGCCTGCTACCACGTTTTCCACTAACAAAGCATGGTTGACTGACTTCATCTTGATTCATTCCTCAGGATACTGTGGAATGGCTTCAAACAGTAGAACGTGGAGTCCCTCCTCCCGGCCAGTGCTTCCGACCGCTCGGAGCTTCTGGGTCCTTTCTGTGAGCCCCAGTCTCCAAGGCCTTCCATTCCCTATTCGGAAGCACCTGCCGCGCCTTCGCCTCTGCGTTGCGCCGCCTGCCTCTCAGGCGACAGCCACAGCCACCGCTCCCTCGCCCCATTCGGGAATGCGGCTCTCCCACGCGCATGCGTGGTTCCGCGACCGCGCGCCGGCACGGCTCCGGGGCCTGGAGCGGGGACCCTGGGTAACCCAGGGCGCGCGTGCGCAGTCGCTGTTTGAGCGCTTCCCCCTCCTCTCGTTAGTCCGCCACCCGGACCATTCATTCCGCTCTCCTCCGCCTTGTCGCCCATTATGAAGGCCTGCCCTCCGGTACGTCACGAACGAAAACAGCTCTCGTAAACAGCCGCTGTCGTTACTAGGCCGCCGCCGTCACCGGAGGCGCGCCGTGCGTGTCTGAGCACCACCCGGTCGACGTCTGAAGTCGTATTCCCCTGCCGCTCCCGCCCCTTCCGCCGCTCGCGCACGCGCACGCGCACGCGCACGGCCGCTCCTCGGCGCGCCGGGGTTGGCTGCGGCGGCGGCGGCCTGGAGGGCGGTAGTGGTTTTCACTCTGCGCGATTAGTTTCCTCCGCCCCCTCCCGTTGGACGCTGTTGTGTGGTCGCCTTAAAAAAATCAACTTTATTGTTCATCGGCCCCACCTCCCGCCGCGAAGCGCATCCTCAGGATGCACTGAGGCGGAGGGTAGGGGCGGCGGCGGGTCGCGGTCCCTCTCCTCCGAGAGCCCGGCCGGAGGGGAGGGAGTCACGATGTCCGGGAGCCGCCAGGCCGGGTCGGGCTCCGCTGGGACCAGCCCTGGCTCCTCGGCGGCCTCCTCGGTGACTTCCGCCTCCTCGTCCTTATCCTCTTCCCCGTCGCCCCCTTCCGTGGCGGCTTCGGCAGCGGCGCTGGGGTCCGGAGGTGCAGCCCAGGCCGCGGGCTCCGGCGGCCTCGGGGGCCCGGGGCGGCCTGTGTTGGTGGCGGCCGCCGTGTCCGGCAGCGGCGGCGGCGGCGGCGGGGTGGTGTCCGCGGGCCTGTCCCGACTCAGCTGCCCGGCCCGGCCCAGCGCCGGCGGAGGAGGCGGCAGCTCCAGCCTCGGCAGCGGCAGCAGAAAGCGACCTCTGCTCGCCCCCCTCTGCAACGGGCTCATCAACTCTTACGAGGACAAAAGCAACGACTTTGTCTGGTGGGTGTGAAGAGCAGCCCCTTGTCGCTCGGGTCTGAGCTGCTGTTCGGGCTGGTGGGTCCGGGGGAGGTGGCTTTTCGGTGCTGCTGGGGGATTCGAGCTGGTGGTTGGGGCTAAGAAGCGGGGATGTTGGGGGTCCCGAGCAGGGTGTCGTACTAACGAGGTAAGTGCTGGTGGGGACGTAAATGAAGGATGTTTAGGGAATAAGAAATAAGGGGGGACGAGATGGGCAGTCACATAAATGGGTGTGCACCAAAGAAGAAAGGTGGGCCTTGAGTTTTCTGGCTGCCTGGTGCATTAGGCATCCTATCAGTCCGATTGCTTGTCAAAGTGGATTAAACTTGTAAAGGAAGAGGGTTAAGCTTCCTGGGTTGCTCGAGGGTTGGAATTGTTGGCTAGAGTTTGCTTATGGAGACTGTGGTAGATGGTGCTCTAAAGCATAGGTATGGCTGCTTTAAGAAGAAGTATTTCATGTAAGTATCCGTCCTATTTCCAAGGGCGGGCCCCTTTTCAGTCTACTGTTGAGGCAAGAAAGTCTGTTTCAAAAAAGAAATTTCACCTCTCAATGTCTTGAAAGAGGGAACCACATTTACTAAATCTCATCCATGTATCAGATGTAACTGGTGTAATGCGTGCAGTGGTTCTCAACCTTCCTAATGCCGCGACCCTTTAATACAGTTCCTCATGTTGTGGTGACCCCCAATTTCATTGTTACAAATTGAACATAATTAAAGCATAGTGATTAATCACAAACAAATATGTAATTATATGTGTGTTTTCCGATGGTCTTAGGCGACCCCTCCCCCAAAGGGGTCCCGACCCACAGGTTGAGAACCGCTGCTTAGAGTGTCCTGGCACTTCTGCTTTGAGAGACAGTAGGTATTAGACGTTTTGTCATCATAGTTGGCATCATGAATGAAACACCGTCGTGTTTAGTTATGATATTTGGCATAGAGGGTATAGTTAGATGTCCATAAGTGAAAGATTTAGTTCATTGTATTGTTGCGAGTGTTTTGGGATTTTCATTGGCTTTGTAACCGAAATGCAGTCTAAATGGTAGACTTGTGAGGAAGGAATTGCATTTAGCTGAGTGAGAACTGGTAGGATTTTGTGCTTGTTATCTGGAGAAAATTGTATGTAGACTTAGAGGGTGTGATATAGGAAGTTGGCTTGCACTCTCATAGGGGAAGTTGATTCACTTCAGGGTCGAAGATCTGGGTTGGTGTCATTACAGTTGGCCATTGGATCACAGGGGTTTGAAGTGCCTAGTCCATTTATACGTGGATTGTTTTCAATAAATACAGTCGCCCATTGTTCCGTGGTTTTGCATCTATGAATTCAACCAATGCTGAACAAAAACAGTATTTTCATATACTTAACCTCAGATAGAAAATAATGTTTTCCATTCCCGATTGGTTGAATCCACCATTCGAAGGGCCAACTGTAGAGTCAGAAGTTATAAGTGGGTTTTCAACTGTGTGGGGTCAGTGCCTCTAGCCCCTGAGTTATTTAAGGGTCAGTAATAATAAATATAATAGGAAGTTATTGATTAGACTTACAATGTCCAGTTCTTGCAGTTAATAATGTCTGTTCATATTTTTGCTTTTGTCTTAAATACGTCTGGATTCAGAATTAATTCCTTTTTAATTGAAATTGGGCTATAAATGTGATTGTTACTTATAAATAATTTAAGTAACTTATTATTGGGTCTAAGAGGTGTTTGTGCCCATACTCAGTAGAGAGCATCATATGGTAAAGTAGAAGCTAATGAAACAAAGTGAGGGTTTGCAGGATTCAATTGTCTTATTGATTGATTGAATGGTTTTATTTTATTTATTTTTATTGATTTTACAGAGTGAGGAAGGAAGAGGGAAGAGAGAGATAGAAACATTGATGCTAGAGAAACATCGATTGGCTGCCTCTTGCACACCCTCTACTGGGGACTGATCCTAAAACCTGGGCATGTGCCCTGACTGAAATTGAACCAGTAACCTCTTGGTGCATAGGACGAAGCTCAGCCCACTGAATAACACCTACTGGGCTGATTGAATGATTTTAGAGACAAGAAAGACAGACAGATATCAATTGGTTGCTCTACTTATCCATGCACTCACTGGTTGATTCCCTTATGTGCCTTGACTGGGGATCAAACCAATTGTTTTTTTTAGCCACCATTTGCATTTCACTTTTCAGTAGGCTAAAGGAACACATGCCAGCATCCATATAAGTACACTGTGTGAGAAATAAGGGAATCAAGCATTCATTCAGCAGATATTTATTTGGCACTCACTGTCTGCTAGGCACTGTATGAGTTTCATTGTACTCACTAACAGCTATTTTATAGGAAACTAGAGGCCTGGTGCATGAAATTCGTGCACGGGTAGGGTCCCTAGGCCTGGCCAGCGATCAGGGCCGATCGGGGCCTTTGGGCTGCTAGCTGGGGCCTGCCTTCCTGGTGGTCAGCGCACATCATAGCGAGTGGTCGAACTCCTGGTCGGTTGAACTCCTGAGGGGACAATTTGCATATTAGCCTTTTATTATATAGGATTGGAGAGGGATGGGGAGTATAAATAACTGGCACTTTTTTTATTTTTTAGGAGTAAGGTTATTTCTGGTGAAGTTGACTATTCAGAAGAATTCATTAATGGGAATCTAGTTTCCCGATTCTCAAGTTAGATTTGATTTGGCCAATCTTTTGGAGTAGGAAGATATGGATTAGGCAAGGCTCAAAGAATCCTTTTCATTTTTAATTGACTTTGGGTGTGGTTGGTCTTGTCTTGTATGCATCACAGTCAAACTGAGTCAATCCCAATTACTCTATGCTTTTACATCTAAATGAGAGTGAAGTTTGACAATTCCTTATTCATTACATTTTAAAGATGTTTATACTTCACATTGTATTTGATCCTTAGAGCAATTCTGTGAAGTTATCTAGACTTCCAATTTTAATATAATACTAATATAATTATATTTCTATTGAGGTACAAAAATGTTGAGTAACTTTGTTTCAAATTGGACAGCTAAGGGACAAAATCAGAACTCAGCTCTCCTAATTCTCGACCTAGTGCTTTCTTTGAATGGAATTAGACTACAGATCCTTAGGTTTGAGTACATGTATTTATCCTAGTGGGTTTTAAATGTGGTAGATTGGAGGGAAACAACTGTTCTATAATCACATGAGATAAATGTTTTTAATCCCTAACCTCTTCCTCTCCATGCCTGTCTGCCTGCTTACCTCCAGAATTGGAGGCTGGAGTGGGCAGTCTAGTTCGAAAAAGCTACTCTGGTGATAATGACATGTTGTCATCTTCTTGAGAATAATTGATTTAAAGTCAAATGCCTAATTTTCAGTAGTACATATTGGCCTCTCTTGACTTATATATTTTAAGAAGTTTATTTTTAATTGCAAAATTGAACATTTAGGGATTTATAGTTTCCACACAAAGGATCAAAAGAATATATTATCAAATTGCAGGTCATTTTAACTGATTTATAGACAGAATTTTGTAGTACAGGAGAGTAGTATTTAGCTTGAAGGTGGAAAAATCGTTGACATTCAAAGGAAGTCTTTGTTACTTTCATTTTTCCAATTTTTCTTACATGATCCATTTAATTAAAGCTACTTGAGTCTAGCCTGTATTTGAAAGATGACTTCTTTTATTCTTTCACATTACTACTGCCTCTGCATTAGCTTTTCAACTACCTGAAATGCTCTTTTCTACTTCTGCAAGACCCAGTTATTCTCTAAGTTGCAGCAGAAATAAATGTTTTCAAGTAGCTAGCCCCTTGTGGGAAGATTAACTCTAGTCATCTGTCTGATAAGAAGTAGGTAGGATCTACATTTAACAGATCTGACACTTATTAAATATGCCATTGCCTCTCAAGTCAAACTATTAATAATAGACTATCCTAAAAAAAGACTTTTTAATCACATAATTGTGTCATATCCTGGCATTATTACTTCACTTAGATGTTAAATGTTTCTGAATTCAGATGTTATCTCACTGCATTGCACCCTAGGCAGCCATTATCTATAAATCATACTTAGCACTGAAGATGAAACCTGTGACCACATTGCTACAGTTTTCCAAACAATTAAAAAGTGTTTTTAAGAGATGTTAAAGCATATTCAACTACTGAAATAAGCTAGAATTCATTACATTGTTGTTATAGCAATATCAGTCAAGAACTTCCTTGAATCTGCAAAACAAAACTTGGCCCTGGCCAGTGTGGCTCATTTGGTTGGAGTGTGGTCCCATACACCAAAAGGTTTCAGGTTTGATTTCGGTCAGGGCACATGCCCAGGTTGTGGGTTTGTTCCCATGTATGGGCTTGTGCAGGAGGCAGCCTATCAAGGTTTCTCTCTCACATCAATATTTCTCTCTTTCCCCCTCTCCCTTTCTTCCCCTCTCACTCCCTCCTCTCTCTAAGATCAGTACAAACAGTTATTAAAAACAAAGCAAAAAATTTTTATTTTTATTGTTGAGGGTGTTACAAATGTCCCCCACATCCCACCCCCTTTGCTCCCTCCGCCCAGATCCTGCCCCAACCTAGGCCATCACTGCACTATTGTCTGTGTCCATAGGCTGTGCATATATGCATATAACTTCTTTGGTTAATCTCTTCCCACATCTCCTCTTTTGTTCCCCCTTCCCTCTGAGATCTGTCAGTCTATTCCATGCTTCCATGTCTCTGGACCTATTTACTCATCAGTTTTTTTTGTTATTAAAAACAACAACACCTTGATTTGTTTTATAATACATATGCTGGTTGGATGACAATGATGATGAAAGATACTCTGCAGAAGACGATATCAAGTCATAGCAGTTCATTATGGTTCTTTTATCAGCATCAATGTCAACATAAGATTTAGGTGCATCAAATGGCAGAGAAAATGAGGTGATTATGAAGCAGGATATAAAAGACTACTATTGAATTCTGGTCTATAAATTGAGAGGGAGGTACTTGTACAGTAGTAGTTTATTACCAAAGAGTGTGCTGATAGGAGACTACCTTTTCCCTTTACAAACCTTTCTTAATAACAGACCAGTCAATATTCCTTAGGTGACCATATTCCTTCTAAGAATTGTTAAGATAACTATAACCTTAAACCTTGTTGCTCATTTTTTCTCCTTGCATATGTATGTTTGTTCTTGATGGTTATAGAACTGGTAACCTCTTGGTTCATGGGTCGATACTCAACCCCTGAGCCACTCCAGCCAAGCTATTTCTTCCTATTTTAAATAAGTTTAAGCTGCAACCCTTTATCCCAGTGGTTCTCAACCTTCCTAATGCCGCGACCCTTTCATACAGTTCCTCATGTTGCGGTGACCCCCAACCATAAAATTATTTTCGTTGCTACTTCATAACTGTAATTTTGCTACTGTTATGAATCGTAATGTAAATATCTGATATGCAGGGTATATTTTCATTGTTACAAATTGAACATAATTAAAGCATAGTGATTAATCACAAAAACAATATGTAATTATATATGTGTTTTCCGATGGTCTTAGGCGACCCCTGTGAAAGGGCCCTTCGACCCCCAAAGGGGTCGCGACCCACAGGTTGAGAACCGCTGCTTTATCCTCAAAGCTTCTCTAGCTTGGGAGGAAGGCTTTCTTCTTTTTCCTGTTAAAATTTGTATTATACAAAATTTGTATTCAACAAAATTAAAATGATTCTTGACTTGTTTTTAACATATGTTTCCACATGTTTGCCTTTCACCTTGTTTGTTCTTTGCCCTCTGCCTTTCTTCATATATGTATGTATCAAGTTCTATTTATATAGGTCCCTACTATCTCAATATTTTCATTGAGTAACATGTTTTCTGTTCATATTCTCATATATAAGTTAATTGTCCTTTCATTTTTCAAAATTAAATTTAATGAACTGATTTTTGTCTCTATTTCTATGTAGAGAGAAAGGTGGATTGTAATAGATGGTCTGATTTCTGTTTATCGTATTTCTGATTTTATCTTTGGGAATTCATCCTTCTCTCTTCCTAGTCTGTGTACTTTGGGGTGGGAACTCTTTGTCCCCAAATTCAGAATTGGAACACGTGATCCTAGGCCCAAGTAATCTAGTCATTGAATACATTGCCTTTTGTTTCTGACTTCTTCAATTTGGCATAATAATATTTTTGAGATTCATATTAAACTGTGATAAATGTATATACATAGGTGTATATGTATTTATGTATATAAATGTGTTTTTTAATGTATTCATTTTAGAGAGAGAGAGATGAAGGGAGAGGTAGAGAGAAAGAAACATCGATTGTCTACCTCCTGCATGCTCCCTACTGGGGATCGGGAATCAAACCTGTGATCTCTCAGTGCATGGGATGATGCTCAACCAACTGAGCCACACTGGCCAGGGCTGTGTGGTTATTTTTTAACTTATCTTGTGGAGTTTTACTCTGGACATGTATGAGTAGTATTCAGCAATGGACTTGATGAGAACCCTGTATAGAGTTGTAGAATTCTTTCTTCTTGTAGCTCCTTCCTCTGGTGTCCGTCCTGTCCTGTAAATTCTTTCCCTTTTGTCTTTCCTAGACTCAGCAAGATTGTTGTATTATGCTCGTGTTCTCTTTCATTGGGCCTGTGAATCTTTCTGTGAAAACAGAAAACTGGGTCTGTGATAGTGCTGACTTATTTATTCATCTTCCATCAAAGATATCAGTACTGTGCTGAGTAGTGTCCAATGCCTGAAAGCAGTTGTTTCATTTACCCCCGCCTCAATTTTCTAAGTATATGTAGTACGAATGTACGTCTAGTAATAGGTACCTACCAACACAGTGCTGTTGAAAGTATTAAGTGGGTTAATATATGTCATTGTTTTAATGGATATAGTTTGTGCTGTTTTGAGTATTAACTATCATTACCATCTTCATTACCTAGAAGAGTTATTGAAATTGGAATTGTAAATTTATCTTTCAGGAAATTAGTTTTTTTTTGAGATAGGAAATAAAAGCACATTTGGATTAGTAGATCTAGGTAGATGTTTTTGAGTACGGATGATCAAAGAAGATGATAGAACTTTCTTAAGGACTCTTGTGATTGCATTGCACTATTAAAAATTATGGGTGAGTTAAAGTATTGGGGCCATTTTAATATACTTATTTAATTCATTTTAGAGCTTGATGGCCATTAGTGCCATCTTGAACAAATTGTCATTTGACCTGCAATCCCCTGAAGTTTATTCAGCTCAAGAGAAATTTCATCTCTCATTGATAAGATGTTTGGAGACTGCAGTGTATGGAAATAGGATTTTGTTGTATTGTTGCTGACCTTTTCTAATTTGAAATCCCTCTACTTTAAAAGTATCAATTATTTTCTGTTTTCTTTTTAGCCCTATCTGCTTTGATATGATCGAGGAAGCATACATGACGAAATGTGGCCACAGCTTTTGGTAAGATGATTTTACTTAGCAAAATTGCCTTTTGGTATTCTTAAATCTGTGTGTAAATGTAGCTAGTGAGAGGTTTTGTTTTTTTTTTAAGTAATTTTGGTTATCTTGTAATCATATTATTTTTTTGATATATCTTTATAGGTTCTTTGGCTCAAGGCAGTAAGCATATGGTTGGTGTATAATATCTGTGAAGTAGTTAGGTTTACCATAGGCTTTACAGGTAGATTTTAAAACTTTTGGGTTTATTAATTGTTAAAGAGCTTTTAACTGCTCTTTTAGAAAATTGGGGTGGTGGTTCTGGGTAATCAGTACAAAGCACCTTTAACTCACTTGCGGGAATAGGTATGAGGCCCAGTAAAGCAGGCTAAACGGACACTGGAAAAGAATATAGAGGATTAAAAACTTCTGTGTTCTTTTTAACACTTCTATCAGTGTCATTAATATGTGTATATTTTGTAAAATTTAGTTGTGGTAAAATACACATAATAAAATTTACCATCCTAAACACTTTTAAGTTCAGTAATGTTAAGTATATGTGCACATTGTTGTGTTCATTCAATATCCAGAACTTTTTCTTGCAAAACAGCTACTACACCCAATGGCTAGTTTTAGCCAATAGAAACATTTTTTAATCCCATCATTTATAACACATAACCCAATTTTCCGAGATGCCAAAGTGTAAAGCAGCGGTTCTCAACCTGTGGGTCGTGACCCCTTTGGGGGTCGAACGACCCTTTCACAGGGGTCGCCTAAGACCATTGGAAAACACATATATAATTACATATTGTTTTTGTGATTAATCACTATGCTTTAATTATGTTCAATTTGTAACAATGAAAATACATCCTGCATATGAGATATTTACATTACGATTCATAACAGTAGCAAAATTACAGTTATGAAGTAGCAACGAAAATAATTTTATGATTGGGTGTCACCACAACATGAGGAACTATATTAAAGTGTTGCGGCATTAGGAAGGTTGAGAACCACTGGTTTAAAGGAAGAAAAAAACGTTCAATTCAGAAGAAAAGAAATATAACAAAGTAAAACAAAGTGAGAGAGGAGCCTTGGATAGGCCAGTGGATAAAGTAAAACACAATTAACTCACTCTACACTTGAGATAAAAATTTAACTACAAGCAGACGTACAGGAACTCTATACCTATTAAACAACTCCTCCTTTTCCCTTTCCCCAGCCTCTGTCAATTGCCATTTAACTTTCTATCTGTAAATTTGACTGTTCTAGACCTCATATAGGTGGAGTCAAGTAGTACTTGTCTTTTTTGTGACTAGCTTATTTTACTTAGCATAATGTTCTCAAGTTTCATTAATATTGTAGCATGTGTCAAAACTTCCTTTCTTTTTAAGGCTGAATAATATCCCATTGCATGTATCTATTATATTTTGTCTATTCATCTGTCAGTGGACTCTTGGATTACTTTCATCTCTCTCTTTTTTTTTTTTTTTTTTAAATATATTTTATTGATTTTTTACAGAGAGGAAGGGAGAGAGATAGAGAGTCAGAAACATCGATGAGAGAGAAACATCGATCAGCTGCCTCCTGCACATCTCCTACTGGGGATGTGCCCGCAACCCAGGTACATGCCCTTGACCGGAATCGAACCCGGGACCTTTCAGTCCGCAGGCCGACGCTCTATCCACTGAGCCAAACCGGCCTCGGCTACTTTCATCTCTTAACTGTTGTTAATAATGCTACTTTGAACATTGGTATATAAATATCTCCTTGAGACACTGCTTTTAGTTCTTTTGGTTATATATCCATAAGTGGAATTGCTGGATTATAGGTAATACTATGATTATTTTTTTTGAGGAATAGCCATACTGCTTTCTATATATAGTTGCAGTACCATTTTACATTCCCATCAACAGTGCATAAAGGTTCCAATTTTTCCGCATCCTTGCCAACGCTTGTTGATTTTTGCCTTTTTTTTTTTAAATAGTAGCCATGTTAATGGGTATGTGGGTATATAATCTGTGTATGTTTAATTCTTGTTGTTTATTTTTTTGTTTGGGAGTAGTATATTCTACTTTGAGTAATCATCTTTTTAAATTTTATATTCAGTAGATTTGTTATTTGAATTTATTTTTCAATAACTTTGTATACTATTGTCTAATAAATGCCCTATGTATCTTCTTTATGATATACACATATAAGCTGGAATAAATTGGATAAACTGTTTGATTGCTTAAGTTGAAAATGAGGAATAGAAAACTAATAGACATTATTTTGTGACCAGTTTATTAATCTATCACTGACTTAATCAAACCTATTTTATTGTTTTTCTCTGCTAATAGCTACAAGTGTATTCATCAGAGTTTGGAGGACAATAATAGATGTCCCAAGTGTAACTATGTTGTGGATAATATTGACCATCTGTATCCTAATTTCTTAGGTGAGTCTTTGGAATGACTTTTTATTTTTAAAATATTTCCCCCCCCAAAGTGTATGCTAGCATTTAATTTATTCAGAAAACATAGCTTCGACTAAGCAAGTCTCTCTTTTCTACTCACCAGATGCTTTCCCGTCTTACCTGGGTTGTGACAGATTCCATACCTTATCATATTATTTTTAATTTTTAAAAAAAATTTGATTGACACGACTCTTAGATTCTTGCATAGATGGCTGGACAGAATGTGAGGCTAAAGGAGAATGCCAGATGTCCAGAATACTTGTCTCTTTATATGGTGTTGTGCATTCCTGCTGTTTCTGCTTCAGGGGCAGACGTAAAAAACATGGGAAAAAGGATTAAGGTAGAGGGGGGAGGACAAAAAAAAGCCACGAACATTCCTGCGTGGGGGCAGAGAGTCTGTGACCTGGGAGGCAATAGAAAAGTAAGAAGTAGGGAAGGAAGATATGGAAGTAGAATTTTTGAGAGAGGAATGGTAGCTGGAGAAGAGAGACAAAATAGGAAATGCTTAGGGCGAATAGTAAATGGTTGATAATAGTATCTAGTCAGAGACAAGATATTATTATCAAGATATTTGTGAATATATAAGAATTCTACTTGTTGAATAGCCTAAGGTTTGTTGGAAATCTTTAGATTGAGTTTTTAGGAATGAAGATTAATTTTCCAAAGATTAATTTTTAGATCTGGGTAGGCATGAATAGAGTACTACTGTGTATATTAGTCAAAGGTTTAATGCTTCATTCTAAAGAGTAACATACTCAGAGTTATAGTGTGATGTTTACTTGCATATTAAATTCTGACCTGCCAGTGCTCCAGTTGCAGTTTGGCTTTCTCAGCTCAATGTTGGTTTATAATAAACCATGAATTTGAACCTTTTCAGCTATGGCTTTCATTTTTATCTCTGCTCTAAAATTGCATTGGCTACAATCCTTTTTTTCTCTACCATTTAGTATTTTTTCATTAAGGAAAATCATTAGATGGTTGCACAGCAGAAAGGAACCTTGGAAGAAATATTGCGAAGGTTTTCTGTTGGAATATCAAATTCTTCTACATAGAGTTTTATGATAAACTTGGAGAAGGAACTTAGGAAATGAGGAAATATAAGTGGTTTGATATTCTGCAGGACTGGACTTCATGGGCTAGGTTAAATAAAAGGGAAAACAAATCCTTCAAAGCAGAAGCCTTTAGGTTCCTGAACTTGGATTAATGCTGCCGTGTGGGCTCTAGAATCACTTTTCTATCAGTTGCATAACTTTGGAAAGCTACTTCTTTTGAAATGATTAAATACGGAAGGGAATCAAATGTTCTGAAAATTTGGAGATTTACTAAATTTTTTAAACAATATTCCTTAGTAAGTCCATAAGTTAGAAATTCTGTTATGTGACTTTCTAAATGGTGAGAGAGAGAGAGAGAATGAGAATGCTATACACCAGTATGGAAGGAATGTAAAAATGTTGGAAAGTAATTTCATACTATAAATACAGTGTTCTATATGTTAGTGTGTGTGTGTGTGTTCACTAGTGAATATTGAAGTCACAATTACTGATTTTCTAAGCTAGAAATTATCCTGGTGATAATATAGTTTTTAAACTCTTTTTATGGATAGAAGTTTTTGATTTTGGGTAATTGGAATGTAAGTACTTTTGAAGTCTTAATTACAGTGCAGCTTTCAGTGAGATTTTTTATGCCAGCCATGGAAATAACATTTTATCCTGATATATCTCTTTCTGTTTTTCTGCCCATCTTCAGCCTTTGCCTTTGTATAGTGATGGTCAGACTCTTAGGTTTCCTCACAGTAAGTAAATAGGGATTATATTTCTTATGCACTCAGGATACCACTGAGATCTCTTTCTAAAGTGGAATACCACTTGTTTTTTTCTATACTGAAAAACTCTTCTAAGTTATTTACTTACACTAGAGGCCTGGTGCACAAAAATTTGTGCACTTGGGTGGGAGGGGAGTCCCTCAGCCCGGCCTGTGCCCTCTCATAGTCTGGGACCCCTCGGGAGATAACGACCTGCTGGCTTAGGCCTGCTCCCGGGTGGCAGAGGGCAGGCCCAATCCCTAGGTGCAGCCCCTGCTTGGGCTCAGAGCAGGGCCGATTGGGGAGTTGGGGCGCCCCCCCCTGCCATGCACAGAGCAGGGTGATCGGGAGGTTTTGATGCCACCCTCAGTCATGCTCAGGGTAGGGCCGATTGGGGGGTTGGGGCACCGTCCCCTGTCACACTCAAGGCAGGGTGGATGGGGAGGTTGCGGCGCCACCCCCTGTCACACACGGAGCAGGGCCAATCAGGGGGTTGGGGCACTGCCCCCTGTCACTCACAGAGCAGGGCCCATCAGGGGGGTTGGGGCTCGGTACCCTGTCATGCACAGACCAGGGCCAATCAGGGTGTTGGGGCGCTGCCCCCTGTCACTCACAGAGCAGGGCCCATCAGGGTGTTGGGGCGCCGCACCCTGTCACACACAGAGCCGCAGGGCGATCAGAGGTTGGGGAGCTCCCCCCTATCAGGCACAGAGCAGGGCTGATCAGGGGGTTGGGGCACCTTCCCCTGTCACGAACAGAGCAGGGTGGATAGGGAGGTTGTGGCCCCGCCCCCTGTCACACACAGAGCCTCAGGGCGATCAGGGGGTTTGGGCGCTGCCCCCTGTCACGCTGATCCCAGTGCCGGGAGGCCTCGCAGCTCCGCTGATCCCGGTGCTGGGAGGCATATTAGCCTTTTACTATATAGGGTAGAGGCCTGGTGCACGGGTGGGTGCTGGCTGGTTTGCCCTGAAGGATGTCCTGGATCAGGGTGGGGGTCCCCACTGGGGTGCCTAGCCAGCCTGGGTGAGGGGATGATGGCTGTTTGCAGCTGGTCACACATCCTTCAGGGTGGGGGTCCCCACTGGGGTGCCTGGCCAGCCTGGATGAGGGGATGATGGCTGTTTGCAGCTGGTCACACATCCTTCAGGGTGGGGGTCCCCACTGGGGTGCCTGGCCAGTCTGGGTGAGGGGCTGAGGGCTGTTTTCGGGCTGAGGGCTGTTTTCAAGCTGGGGGTGACTGAAGCTCCCAACCGCTCCTTTTTTTCTTTTTTTTTTCCTTTTTTATTCTGGGCCAGCTTTAGCTTTGAGGCTTGGCTCCAGCTCTTAGGCCTCCGCTACTGAAAGTAGGTTTCTGGCCTTTGCTTACAATGTTGCGATCCTGATGGCTGAAGCCCGGCGGACTAAAGCAGGTTTCTGGGGTTTTGTTTAGCTTCTATATTTGTTACATAGTTGCTTAGAGTTGCAGCTCAGAGGCCTGCAGCGGCAGGCGGGGAAAGTTGGAGTCCTCTGTCACTGAAGCAAGCAAGCCTCATGTTAGTTTCAAGCTGCCTGGCTGCCGGCCGCCATCTTGGCTGGCAGTTAATTTGCATATTGCCCTGATTAGCCAATGGGAAGGGTAGCGGTTGTACGCCAATTACCATGTTTCTCTTTTATTAGATAGGATTATTTCAGCTCTCAGAGCTCTCTCTCTTGATCCTGGAAGGCTCATGTGGGGTGAGGGGGTTGGGTGGCAGTGTCTCATCCACCTATTCCACTTCTGCAATTCTGCATTTGTTCTCCAGTCCTGCAAGGCTTGCTCTCTAGTCTCCCTGTTCCTTCCTGTGTAAGATCTCTCTTTGGCTGCTCCATCCTTTCGCGGTCTCTCTTTCTCTTTCTCCCTCCTTCTGTCCCTTCCTCTTTCCCTCCCTTTCTCTCTCTTAGTTTCCTCTGTCTATAGATAAAAATTATAAATTAATTTTTAAATCTTCCTAATGAATGGCCCTCTTTTTATTTATTTATTTTTTAAATATATTTTATTGATCTTTTTTACAGAGAGGAAAGGAGAGGGATAGAGAATTAGAAACATTGACGAGAGAGAAACATCAATCAGCTGCCTCCTGCACACCCCCTACTGGGGATATGCCCACAACCAGGGTACATGCCCTTGACTGGGATCAAACCCCGGACCCCTCAGTCCGTGGGCCAACTGAGCCAAACCAGTCAGGGCGAATGGCCCTCCTTTTAAAATAAAGGACAACATGAATGCAAAGTTTAAAATCCCTGTTTTTTTTTTTTTTTAAGTAGCTAATGCATGTAACATCCTTACTACTGTCCTAAGTGCTTTATGTATGTTAACTCATTTAATTATCATTTGTCATCTTCATTCCTCAGGTGAGGAAAGTAAGGCAGAATTTAACTGCATAAAAGTTATTCAGCCAGTAAGTGGCAGAGTAGGGATTTGGTCCTAAGCAGTCTGGCTCAAGAGTCTGTGCTTTTACTACACTATCCTGCATCTAAAAAGACAGTTGCTAAAAAGGAAAATTTAGCAGTAGAAATGCATTGTTTGTTCTTAGTACTATGGGTGTTATAAGAATCTATAAAATTATAATTATGAATATAGATTATCCTTCAGTTTCAGTGGTATATGAGATTTCTTGGTCAAATGCAATGTAATATATATGTAAAGTATTATTGTTATTTAACTCACATTTTTTTTTAAAATATATTTTATTGATTTTTTACAGAGAGGAAGGGAGAGGGATAGAGAGTTAGAAACATCGATGAGAGAGAAACATCGATCAGCTACCTCCTGCACACCCCCTACTGGGGATGTGCCCGCAACCAAGGTACATGTCCTTGACTGGAATCGAACCTGGGACCCTTCAGTCCGCAGGCCGATGCTCTATCCACTGAGCCAAACCGGTTACATTTTATTCAAATGGGTAATTCTATAACTGAAACATTAAACTCTTATTTACATACTCCTCTTTATTTCCCAGTACTACATTATTTTAAGCTCTCTTCGTTATCTTCCTTTGGTTATAATGATAACTTTACTTGTGACATACATACCAGCTTCTTCAGAATCTGGCTCCAATCTAGCTACATTTCCAATCTTAGTTCTTAGCCCCTGTTAATCATTAACAAAATCACTGTGACCCTGTGTTTCAGCCATATTCATTTTAAATCACTTTATCTTCTGCTGTCTTATGACTTTGTCCCTTGCCTCCCCTTCCTCTATCTGAATTTTTTTCCACTTAGTTAATCTCTGTGCTCCTGTTTTGGCTCAATTCTAATGTCACCTTCTACTGGAAGCCTATTTCTTAAATTTTGATTACTCCTCTTCTGTGTTCTCTGTAAATCTGTTTCAATGATAACACTGATTTTTTACATTATGTTACAACTACTGCATCATATATATTTGTCTTCCTACTCTGAGCTGCTTGAGTCTTGGATTGAGTGTTACTTAGATTTAGTCTCACTCACTTTTGAAGTTTGGATATCTAGTGTGGGCTTGATACCTCTCTTGTTTGTTAGAAAATATTTGTAGTTGGATTGTGGTGTAGTGGAAATTTTAGATAATTGGGTTTGTATCCCAACCCTCTTATGTACTGTGTGTCATGCTCTCTAATATTCCCTCATCTCTAAATAGGAGGAACAACCAATGGGATAATGTCTGTAAATTAAAGCACTTACCTAGCCTAGTGCTAGTTTCCCTTTATCATTTTTTTAAATCAGCTAGCTGTTAAAGACAGAATAATCCAATTAAAAGTGGCTTAACCATTAAGGAAAATGTATTGATTCCCATAAAAAGAATTTCTAAAACTAGTTAATTCTGTGGTTCTGTAACATTATCAAGTTCTTTCCATCTTTTTGTTCCTCCATCCCCAGCATATGTATTGGTCTTAGGCTAGATCCCCTCAAGACTGCAGGATGGCTCTAAGCAGTTCCAGATATCATCCATTCATGATGGCAGGGAACGAACTCGTTTTTCTCCTCTACTTCTTTCTGAAAGACAGCATTCCCCTCATTGGTCAAAACTAGGTCACAAACTTAACACCATGTCAGTCACTGGCAAGAGTATAAATGACTAAATACCATGGACCTGAGGAAGGGTCTAGCGCCTGTGAAAGTATGTGGTAATCTGACACTTGGAAAAAATCTGCTGTTATTTAAATAAAAGATGGATGGTTTGTGGATAGGTAACTGACATTGTCTGCCAGGATATTTATAGAGGAGTCAAACAAACAAAAAGAAAAAATATAAATCTTTAGTACCTACCTCATAGACTCAACCAGTTACCATGGAGAGCATGGTACAATCTCACACAGTGAAGAATTGTCTCTCTCCAAGTGCCAAGCAGTGACATTATTGAAACGTGTAAGAGTAAGTACATATTCTGAGAAGAATTCTGAGTAGTAATAGTAATAGTTTTACCAGTAGTAGCCTGTGACAAAACTGTTTTTAATTTGAAATTTCTGCTTAGCATCATTTTAATTTGAAGCTTTGTAAACTTAAAATACAATTCATCTAAACAGAACAATTAGATGATACATTTAACGCAATAATGCGTGTTTCTTGTTTTGTTTTTATTTTCAGTGAATGAGCTCATTCTCAAACAGAAGCAAAGGTTTGAGGAAAAGAGGTTCAAATTGGACCACTCAGTGAGTAGCACCGTATGTTTCAACTCTTATTACTATTTTTAATACATTTTAATTCATTGTTTTTATTGCTTTAATATTAGATATTCAAATTTTAGTATATTGTTGATTTTTCTTAAAGGAAATTTGTTTACCATTGTTTTGTTTAATAAAGAACTTTCTTAACTGCATTGTTTAAAATTTACTCTAGTGATCATCTTTTGGAAGGTCTGGTGGGATCACATTTAGATAGTTTGCTTGTAATACATGACAGTTGAAAGATTATATGGCAGAGTAAAACTATGTGTGGTAATTTGGGAAAAACTGTTGAAAGAGTCTCAATTTAAGAGGATTAACCCCAAATTATTGAGGCAGGTGAGCTTAAATTAAGACCTTACAACTAAATACCAAGTTGAAAATATGGCTAGAAAAAGAATTAAAACTCAGGCACTTATTCTGAAAGGAATTACACCTTTAGAGATGCTGACTCAACATTTGTCTTGAATATGCCTTTCATGTCTGTTATCTAAATAAATTTAAGGGGAAAAGAGTATTTAAATGATCATGAGAAGGCAGTGGGAAGCCACTAGCTGGGGAAAAATAGGTTGGAACAATATAGTGTACTAGAGGCCCAGTGCACAAAATTCAGGCACGGGTAGGGTCCCTAGGCCTGGCTGGCAATCAGGGCCAATCTGCGGGGTGACAGGCGGGGCAATCGGGGGGGCCCCCTGCTGGCACCTGCCTTGGCTGGCCTGGGGCCTGAGGGCTGGGGGAGCTCCTGCATTGAATGTCTGCTCCCTGGTGGTCAGTGCGCCTCATAGTGACCAGTTGTTCTGCCGTTCGGTCGATTTGCATATTAGGCTTTTATTATATAGGGTTTTTGTTATCTGTGTAATAATCATATTAGGAAGTAGCAGTTAAACATTTGTTTTAGACACTAAAACAATCTTCTTAGAAAGTTATTGTGTTTCTTTTCCTTATTTTTAGAATGGCCACAGGTGGCAAATCTTTCAAGATTTACTGGGAACTGACCAAGATAACCTTGATTTGGCCAACGTCAACCTCATGTTGGAATTACTAGTGCAGAAGAAGAAACAACTGGAAGCAGTAAGTGGTAGCTGAACTTAAAAAAAAACATTGATTTAAATGGTGCTGTTTATTCCATTGTAAAAGATCTAGAAATGTTTATAAATAATAGGGTAGTGTCACTTAATCCATCCAATTTTATTCAGCTAGAAACATCTTCAAGGTGTCACTTATAACAGATTCCCCTTTTTCAAATAAGAGAAAGAACAAAATGTTTGTAATATAACTTAGAGTGGCCAGTTTGTATTAACAAAAGTTGAGTGTTAAGAAAGATCATGAGAAAGTACAATTTTATTTTAATAAGGAACAATTGTATTGGTTGTCTTTCTTCTAATGAATATCTTCTTTGCCATATTGTCCCCTCTTTACATACAAGATTTGAAGGAGAAAATAGAGATTATTTTTATCTACATAAAGTCCTCCTAAAAGGTCTCCATTGGTAGAGTAGTAGTATATTGCTTAACTAAGTGCATTTAGAAAAATGGGAACTGAAACTGAATATATCCAGTTTGATGTAATAAAATGTAGATAAGTAGAAAATTGCATTTATTTCATGTAAAAATGTAAAATGTGAATTTGCACGTATTAGGAATTGAATATGATTCATGATAAGCAATGCACCCCTTAAGCAAATACCCACTCCGAACTAGCTTAAGAAGCAGATATTGCCGAAACCGGTTTGGCTCAGTGGACAGAGCGTTGGCCTGCAGACTGAAAGGTCCCAGGTTCGATTCCGGTCAAGGGCATGTACCTGGGTTGCGGGCACATCCCCAATAGGAGATGTGCAGGAGGCAGCTGATCGATGTTTCTCTCTCATCAGTGTTTCTAACTCTCTATCTCTCTCCCTTCCTCTCTGTAAAAAATCAATAAAATATTAAAAAAAAAAAAAAAAAAAGAAGCAGATATTTATTGATAGGATAAGGGAGTGAGTAGCTCATATACATTAAGAGGGAAGAGCTTATCAACCAAACATTAGAAAGATTGGAACCATGAATCTGTCTTTGGGCTTCCTCTTTGTGTGTGTGTGTGCTTGCTCGTGCGTGAGAGAGAGAGAAAAACAGGTATGATTGTCTTTTCTAAGATTTTTATCACATGGTAGATGATAGGTTCACTTGTACTTCCAACTTCAGTTTAAAATTTTCTGTGGATAGATTCTGATTAACATAGCTTGATCTGGATCACAGAATGGGAACATTTTAGTGGGAGAAAGGAGTAGGTGAAGTTAAGATGACCAAAATGAGTTTCCCATTCTGTGTCTTTTTGGGGGGACAGGGTTGTTGCAGATTTGTCCTGTTTTTATTTTTAAGGGGGCCTTAATCTTAGTGTATATCTGTATCTATATCTATATCTATATCTATATCTATATCTATATCTATATCTATATCTATCTATCTATCTATATCTATCTATCTATCTATCTATCTATCTATCTATCTATCTATCTATCTATCTATATTCATTCTGTATTTCTCACTACGTTTTAGCCAGATGTAGAAGTTCAATTTGTATGCTTTTGGTCTGTTGAAAAAAATTTTTTTCAAATATGTTTTATTGGTTTCAGAGAGGACGGGAGAGGGAGAGAGAGATAGGAACATCAATGATGATAGAAAATCATTGCTCAGCTCCCTTCCGCATGCTCTACACTGGGGATTGAGCCTACAACCCAGGCATGTGCCCTTGACCGGAATCAAACCTAGGACCCCTCAGTCCGCAGGCCGATGCTCCATCCACTGAGCCAAACCAGCTAGGGCTGATCTGTTGAAATTTATTGTGGTTTTCATTATATGGTACATGGTCTATTTTGTTAAATGATAACTTGCTTTTGAAAACAGTATTGCTCTTTGTTGTAATGCTTTTATAAAATTGATTACGTAGTTTGTTAATATTATTCAATCTTTTTTTCCTCCTAGCTCTGTCAGTTACTGATAAGGATATGTTAAAAATATAATTTAGATTGTCCATTTTTCACTGTTTTCTGTGATTTTTGCTTTGTGTATTTTGAAGCTCCTCATTAAGTGTATGTGTCCCCCCAAAAATGTATACATGTCTAGGATTGTTATGTCTTCTGGATGAATTATTTCATTTATCATTATGAATTGTATTTGATTATCACTTGAAATATTCCTTGTTCTGAAGGTGGTTATAGTTAATCATACTACCAGAAGTGCATATCCTTCACCATTTTATTGATAGTAGATTTAAGGAAAAGAATGTATTGATATAGAGAAAATTAACCACCTAAATCATAGTAACAATTACACAAGACATGGCAAAGTGACTCTTGATTTGTGAAATGTTACCTGCTTATTTTATAGGTAGGGACTTAGGCCAAGTAGGGGAAGCACTCAAAAGTTTTACAAGATTTTTAGGTTAGAATCCTTTCTCTAATACCTGAAATTTAAGTCTTGTTTTGTCTTCTCTTCTGTCTACCCCACCTCCTCCCCCTCTTGCTTTTCTTTTCTCTTCCCTTTTCTTAAAATCCAAGTAATAAATAGTACTCCTAATTTACAAAGTCAAATGATATTCCAAGATCAAAGGAAAAGTGTTATTGTTGTTTTTATCATAAAGTTTGGGGTGCTCTCCCCCTTTTTTACAAATCAGTAGCATTCTTAACCTGTTTACATGTCCTAGTTGATAGACAGAAATGAAGTTTCAAACTTACTATTTTGAAGATAGTTTGTACACTTTTTTTGCAAATGAACTGTATTCTTTATTAGCAGTCTTGGTTGTGCATTTTTCTTTTTGTATAAAGATGTGATCTTGACTCTCTAGCCATTAATAATCTGTAGACAGTTGTAAATAATCAGTGTGAAGAGTCCCAAGAAAGAGTCCCAATGTATCCTGGGATACAATGTCATATTGTTGGGACACAGAGCACCTGTTTGTTCTTTAGGATAGTTTAACTTCTCAGGAATGTGTCTCAGGTTCAATAAATGCCAGTTTGTTATGCAAGAAAAAACTTCACTTTAAAATCTCATCACACCATGCTTTACAAATGTATGTATTTATTTTTATTTTGAGAGTATGTTTATTAAAGTTGGGGACAGTGAAAGAAGAAAGGACTTAGGATAGAAAACCAACAGGAGAGACTAGGAAGGGCTGCTTTTGCTCTCTAGAAACATTATGGGAAAGAAGTGAACCAAGATGGGGCTGCTGTCAGTTCACTGGAGGGTCAGAGAAAAGGGGACCTTGGGGACAGATTTAGTGTTAGCCCAGGAGGAGCTGCCTCTGCCCATTGCTCCCCTGGTCACAAGTCTTCTCTGGTCCATTAGAGCTTAGGAGATACATGCCTGTGGGGGGTAAAGAAGAGAAAGGGAAAGGTATGGCCTTGCTCCCAGGAGGGAGAGCACACTTACTTAGTTGTGATACATTAATTCAGTTGTGTTTGTTAATTGGAATATCCTAATGTGATTGTCAGTTCAGATGTGCCTCCTTTGTCCTTTTTTGTCTTGGCTTAAACATTTCATTGATCTATTTTGCTCTTACTCTTTAAAATGCCTTTTAAAGAATATCCCCAAAGGGGATATACCCTGGGAATGGAGGTGAAGTGGCCATGCTCTTTTGTAGTACATGTAATATCTTAGTGATTCTTCAAATTTTGATGGGCTTATTCTTATTATCTGGGGAATTGTTAAATATATGTATTCCTAGAATCTTTTCTAAAGTAATAGAATGAGGTAAAACCTGTCCCAGTGTTTATTTTAACAACTGGCTCCTATGATTCTGTTGCATAGCCAGGTAAATGCAAGTTTTATTAACCCTTTGTATGCCATAAGCATCTATAGAGGCAAGAGGGATGGTTTACGTTTTGGACACATGGCAGTTAACTGGTTAATCTCTCCTATTTATTTATTTTTGTTTGTTTTGGAAGTGTTCCACTGGGCATTTTTATTCTATTTTTCAAATATATATGAAAAATCATAATTATATTTATTCATAAACTATCTCATTGAAATTCCATTTTTACCTTTTGATTTTCTTTGTACATATATTTATTGATTCACTTGCAATTCCTTAATTCTTTATGTGAATTTTAACATTAAAATATATATTTTTTGTGATTGTATTTTTTGATACCCAAGAAATGTTAAGCTTATAATAATCATTTATCTGTTAAATTTTTGTTTGTTACCAAGTTGGGTTATTTACCCCTTCTTTCAGTTGATGATATTAAAATTTTGTTTTTAAGTGTTTGATTTTGACTGAAATCTTTTATAAGACTGTATTGTCACATCTGTGAGTAGGTAATAATCAGAAATAGTAAATTTGACTTCTGATATATGGATTTCTTTTCATTTATCGTGCTTCTTACTCCCCTGCAAATAAAATTTTTATGAGGAAAATTATGTTAGTGTATAGAATCTCTACTCTGTTAGTTCTACCATGATTTTTTTTCTTCATGTTGTATTGGTATGATTGGAAATAGAAAGGCAAGACAGGTAGCAGAATTGCCACTTACCATGAGTAGTTTTTTAGCAAGGTAGATGAGGAATGTAATTTAAGGCACCTTTTTCTTAAAATTAGTTTTAGTTTTGGGGAAAATGGTTTGCTTTTTAAAATTCCAATTAGCAAATGGGAAAACTGAATAGAAGTAATAGACTGACTTAAATGGATGCATTAAGTTGTTTCCTACTGATTATATTGTGGTATTAAAGAAAACGTTGAACTCATAGTTATATTTTTATAAGAACAATTATAATTTTCTATTATAGGAATCACATGCAGCCCAACTACAGATCCTTATGGAATTCCTCAAGGTTGCAAGAAGAAATAAGAGAGAGGTATATTATTTTGTGTATTTTACATCATGTTTTATTTACTGTTGTTGACTATTCCCATTTCTTCCCTATTTTTGTAAAGGCATATCAGGTTAAAAAAATTTTTAATATTTAAAAACCATTTGAGTTTTCTTAAGCTTTGTTATTTTAACTTCTTTTACCTTTACAACTTGATTCTTTAAAAATCCCTTTTTTGGAGATGTGCATAGGATTGCATGCAGTGAGTTACCTCAAAGCTGTAAAGAATATAAAACAGAATTCTTGAATGACAGCCCACTCTTCACCCTGAAAGAAAATTTAGGTAATAGAACCTTAGGTAGAAAGGGTTACAATTTTTGTAATGATAAAAATGCATGATGGGGTGAAAACAAGTAAAAACATAGCTACCTATTTAGAACTTAAAAGATGTAAGTCATGCAGGATAGCTAGAAGATAATTTTCATTAACAATTTTATAACTGGAATGTTCTAATTTAACACTTATAAAATTCCTTAGTCATATTGCACTTGTACTAAGTATAGAAAAATCAAAGGCAAACTCCTATGCCCTTGGTAGCATGCTAAAATAACTTTGAAAGTTGTTTTATATTTAAATTCCTATCTCAAATCTTATGTATTTTTATTTTGAGTTGTCTAATTAGGATACTTTTTACTCATTAAGAAATATGATCACCTATTATGTGCTAGGTCCTTGGCTATCTTTTATTATTTTTGAAAATGTAAAAGATGAGAAATGTCCCTATTTTGATGAAATACTTTGTGCATTGCCAGAACCTTATATTATCTTAATTTGATAACTCCCCTTTTTTGATTATTCATGATCTGTATTTTTAACTTTTTAGATAAAAGCTTTGTATTATGCTAGTGCTTATAGCTAGTATTTTTTACATGGCTTATGACTATATTTTTCTTATCCTTAACTTTTGTTAACAATTTTTATTTTAATGTCTGTTATCAGAAACACTATCTTCATTATAAATTTAAGATTTATTTATTCCTTTTTTTGTGGGTACTTCTTAAACTTTAATATGCATGAGGACCTTGTTAGAATTCAAGTTCTGATTAAGGGTGTGTGTGTGTCAGATTTTGGTAATCTACATTTCTAGCAAGCTTCAGTTGATAATGCTCTTGGTCCTTGGACCACACTTTGAATAACAAAGTTGAAAATTTTATAATATATGGAAATAAAATTATTAATTAAATATGTACACTCAACATTTTTTCTATAGAAAATTCTTTGGAAGAGTGATAATTTTCCATATTCCATACAATACCCTACTTTTAAAACAGAATGTGCAATTGTTTTGCAGTAGTTGTACATGTTTCTTCTTGCCTTAAACTTTGAAGTTATTGAGACTAAGATTCAGTACATAGGAAATTGCCTGATAATGAATGACTAAATGAAATCAGTTAAATATCTGGGGGTTAAACGAAATGGCTGGTCATTGTCTGTATCCTGAGTTACTTAAGGTTTTCTTTAGCCCCTGAGGTTTTTTAGTGCTTCTCTAGGGGTCTATTAATGCTTACAATAAATTGTTAGATTTGAAATTGTTTCAGGTAATGAGAACATAGCATAATACTGTTAAAAAAGCTGTAATGGTTCTGAGGTTTTTAATCTTACCAGCAAGTTAACAAGTTAGCCTGTTACAGTTTATAGGTGCTGGCAGCAGACGTGTGACTCCTGGGTTGGAGATAAAGGACTTAATTATATCAATCTGGCAGCATCAGCCTCTTATTTGCATCAGTTCCTCATGACCCCCAAGTTTTACAGGGGCAATGTAGAGATGGATCCAGGTTGACACTACACATACATGGATTTATATTACAACTAAGGAACCCTGAACTTAGGAAACCCTAGTCTTTTAAAGGGGTCTACTAGCAAACCTGTCCAACCTTGATGCAGGGACACACTTCTTATTATATTGATCCGAAAATAAATCTGCCCTGTTTCCTGGAAGAAGCACTGTTTCTGTCTTGCCAGGACATTCTTTATACATAATTGAAAAGATAATTTAGAACAATATCTATCACAAGATGAGCAGAAGTGTGAGAGATCAATGGAGAATTGGTTCTTAACAATAACTCTTTCTTGTGATCCTAATTTGTCCTCTCTCTAATTTGGTGTTTCTCTATTTTTGTTATTAAATGTCTGGGGTAATAGTGCTGTAGAATTTTTCAGCTTAACTTAATTTGAAGTAATGTGATCTTGTGAATGACTCATTTTGGTTTTCTTTGGTCCATATTTTATCATGGTAAGCAGTTTAACCAAGATACATACTACTGTAGTTCCAGGTACTTCTGAATATTGGTTGCCTCTTCTGTGCACTGATTATATTGTGAATAATACATTTTGGTTTCTTGTGTTCAGTGTATCCATCATTCAGTGATTTTTGAGTATTTCAAGTTTAATTACACATGGGACTTTGAGGACTAGGTCAGTGATGGCGAACCTGTGGCACGCGTGTCAGAGGTGACACGCGAACTCATTTTTTTGGTTGATTTTTCTTTGTTAAATGGCACTGAAATATATAAAATAAATATCAAAAATATAAGTCTTTGTTTTACTATGGTTGCAAATATCAAAAAATTTCTATATGTGACACGGCACCAGAGTTAAGTTAGGGTTTTCCAAAATGCTGACACGCCGAGCTCAAAAGGTTCGCCATTACTGAGCTAGGTTAACAAATTATAAACGTTTGAAAATTTGGAAGCTAGGTTAACATACTTTACCTGTTTTATTACATTTCATAAATTTCTTCATGATTGGAGTCGGGTACAGTAGTGATTTGTAATCATAATAAACTTTAGTCTAGAAAATATAGTCGAATAATACTTCAAGATTTAGTGTAGATGGAATAAAGTGAGTGGTTATATTTTTTGCATGTATTATAAAGTACATTTTCATATCTAATCCTCAAAATGAATATAATTGTAAAAAGTCTTATCTCTAGTAGTATAATTTGTACTTGGAGTTAACTCAAGTAAAATACAGAATGATCAGGAGGCAAAGTACTGCTTTTGAATTTATTTTCCTAAGATTAGCATTCAGATTTTTTTTTTTTTAAATATATTTTATTGATTTTTTACAGAGAGGAAGGGAGAGAGATAGAGAGTTAGAAACATCGATGAGAGAGAAACATCGATCAGCTGCCTCTTGCACACCCCCTACTGGGGATGTGCCCGCAACCCAGGTACATGCCCTTGACCGGAATCGAACCTGGGACCTTTCAGTCCGCAGGCCGACGCTCTATCCACTGAGCCAAACCGGTTTCGGCAGCATTCAGATTTTTAAAAAAATATATTTTATTGATTTTTTACAGAGAGGGAGAGGGATAGAGAGTTAGAAACATCTATGAGAGAGAAACATCAATCAGCTGCCTCCTGCACACCCCCCACCGGGGATGTGCCTGCAAACAAGGTACATGCCCTTGATTAGAATCGAACCTGGGACCCTTCAGTCCACAGGCTGATGCTCTATCCACTGAGCCAAACCGGTCAGGGCAGCATTCAGATTTTGAAAATTAACTTTGATTTCTTATTTATTCATTCATTCCTTCCTTTTTCCCTCCCCCTTTTCTTACCTCCCTCCCTCCTCCCAAGGGTATGTTTAGAATATGTTTAGAAAGTGGAAGAGAGAGGGAGAGGTCGGGGGAGAGAGAAAAACAGAGAAACATTGATTGGTTGCCTCCCATACTCTTCTGGACCAGAATGGAGCCCAAAACCTTTCGGTGTATAGGACAATGCTCCACCCAACTGAGCCACCTGGCCAGTGCTATACTTAACTTTTAATTGGGGTTATGATGAGTCTTGGTTTAGACATCGATGTATACCAAAAAGAAGTAAAATCTGCCTTTCAGATTTAACATATTAATTTCAATGTCACATCTTCCTAGTATCTTAGGGTATTAGGATCCTATGTTTAATTTTCATTTTTTACTTATTTTACCCTACTGACTTTCAAATATTAAGAGACGGGATTGTGCACTTAGTAGACCTCTGAATTAGTTATCTATTGCTGTGTAACAAGCTACCCTCAAATTTAATGGCGTCAAACATCAAACATTTACTATCCTGGGTGCAGTGTAACTGAGTGTCTTGGCTCAGGGTTTCTTACTAAGCTACAGTCAAACTGTTGGCCAGGATGGCAGTTATCTCAAGGTCCCACTGGGATAGGAACCATTCCAAGCTCACTCACTGGCTCTTGGAAAGAAATGCCAATTTCTTGCCACAAGGACTTCTCCATAGGATAGCTTCCTACATGACAGTTGGCTTCCCTTAGGAAGCACGTGAGAAAACAAGAGAGGTTTTGAAAACAGCACATACTTTTTGTAAATGAATCTGGGAAGTGACATCCCAACATGGGTACTGTTTTCTGTTCATTAAAAGCAAATAAGTAGTTCCAGCCCACAAGAAGAGAGGGAATTTAGAAGGGTATGAATACTAAGAGGTGGGGATATTTGGAAGCTATCTTAGAGCCTGTCTACCACAACATTTAATCAATTTATAACTGAACATGTTATTCTTCATATTCAGATTAAACAATCAGGCTTTTGTTTCCATATAAAAGCCAGTCTCATCTGTGCAAATTTGTACTAGCATTTGAACAGATGCTTTATATTTTGTTTGATTTCATTTTTAAATGTACTTTTGGACATTTGTGATACCTGTTTAATTTACTGTAACAGAACAGTTTTGATGAGTCCTGGTTTTTTTTTGGTTTGTTTCGAACGTTAATGAATTGAATTTTTCAGTGTTTTTATATAAAGTAAAACACAGGAAAGTTTATTAAGCCAATTTACTGTTTAAGAATCATAGTAGAGTGACCATCCATGTACCACCATCCTGATTAATTTGATTTTTGTTGTATTCTATTAAATGAATATACCCCATTTTTGTTGTTGATGGACTATTGAGTTTTTGGTTTGTGACTATTCACAAAAGGTTACTATTTTACATATGTAACCAGATGTATATTAGCATATATATCTATGGGATGCATGTACA